CTAACATCTACATTATTTCAAAATCTTCAAGTTCAGGATAGTTATGTTGACGTAGAACGAATAATCAATGATGTGTCGAAAGTTAAATCCAGTTAATAGTAGTGTATAACTTATGTATTCTTCTATTTATTGTCATGTGTTTCTGTTTCTGTATTTTTATCTCATACTGTCATTTCTGCTTTACTGATTTAATATTTAATTTCTGTTTCTTGTATATTTATTGAATCTTTTGTTGAGCCGAAACTTATTTAAGATGTTTTAGCGTCCACACACTGCCCGCTGAGACTAGCTCTACTATTTGTGGGTAGTGCGTTATTTGTTAAGTGTCATGTCATGTCTGATTACAATAAAGTAAAAATGAAAAATTTAAAGTAGTTAAAGTAAACTAGTGTCCTCTTTATGTAAAGCGGTTCCATCATTCTGGCTTATGTGCTCGAAGTGTTGCATCTGGAAAACTACTCACGCCCTCGAGAACTGCGCTTAGGCAGGACAAAAGAGAAAAATGAAAAATGGTTTTTCAATAAAAAGATTGACGTCAAACCTTGGAAATCATCTTAAACTCATGTTACATATGGTTTAGCAGACGTTTTGAAACAGGTCAGCTGACAACATCGGAGAGTGAAGCCAACATATGTTAGCACAATATCCCACTTGACAGCTTTAATTGTGATCGTTGCTTTTGTAGTTGTTGTTGTTGTTGTTGTTGTTGTTTTTGCTGAAACAAGCGTTTAGTTAGGGCATATTGTAAAACACAGACTGGATTGGATTTGTAAAACATGGACTGGATTTGTAAAACATGGATTTGTAAAACATGGATTTATGGAAACATGATAACATTGTTCGACTGTTTATTTGTTTATTTCTCTGTCTGTCCCTTTTTAATCTTAATTTTTTTACTTTATATTATTTTTATTTTATATTACCTAATAATTTCTCTAAAAGATTGTTTGATGTTGAGTTTGTATTAGCATTTGAAAATTTTTAAGAATAGTCAAGAAATACGAGAAGCATTCGCTTACAGCGAGTAACCATTCTCAGCATTTTTGACATTCTCTCGTGTTCAAAAACAAAATTCCGCGTGCTTATAATTAACTCTACAATGCATTCGGCGCGTTTTTATTTGTAAAATTAACAACATCTCAATACACAGGAGCTGGTCAAGACCGATTTCCAATGCTTTACGGGAATAGGTAATTTTACAAGGGCAAACATGGAACAAACCTGAAAGTGTACGTGATATACAAACAACCAGGCTGCCAAAAGACCGTAATTTGAAAAATGCATTGTAGAACTCAGTCGAAAATAGATTTGCATCTTTTAAATTTGCGCGGGAGAAGATAGGAAGGAGATGGCGGCTTCTTTTAAAGTTCCATCTCTGACCATAAAACGGCGACGTGGATTTGAGTTTCCAGAGTTCTCGTGGAGCTCTGTAAAAATTAAAGAAGAGCTTGGAAGCGGGATATTTGGGACCGTCTATTTGGCTGACTTTACATTTGTTTCTTCTCTTGTGTTAAAGATGAATAAAACACTGGAGTCTATTTAAGCGCCATGTACTTAAATATTTTCCAGATTTGTTATAGTAACTGTACATATCTGGAACGAGCTTTTTCAGTTTACTCAACTACGTGAAAAAGTGAATATTCTGCATCCAGCAAACACGTGAAAAAGAGTGAAGAAGGTCGCGAGGATGAAATTAAACACGGATAACTTTCAGTGTTTGAAATGGTACTACCAATTCAAACACTAAAAATCCATGTTTTACAAATCCATGTTTTACAAATCCAGTCTATGTTTGACAAATCCAGTCCATGTTTGACAAATCCAGTCCATGTTTGACAAATCCAATCCATGTTTGACAAATCCAGTCCATGTTTGACAAATCCAGTCCATATTTTACAAATCCAGTCCATGTTTTACAAATCCAATCCAGTGTTTATTTTACAATATGCCTTTAGTTAGTTGTGGATGGGCGTATGTAATAGGTACGTAGCACAATAGCTCAAGCAAATTCAAAGAATTACTTCATACCAGCAGCAATTACTGAAGAAAAGTGATTCGACTCAGACTATAGAGGAAGCAAAAAACATATTTTCATGCCATAGTTCCATCAAAAGTCACAGTAGAGCATATCGTTTCCTCGTGTTTGCAAAGGTTATTAAAAACAACACGATCTTTCACACAAGCCGTTCGGGTAAATTTTACTTTCAATATTACGTCCCTTAGAAAGTGAAAAATTAGATATTTGGTGTTTATGTACAAAAATGAGACAAAAAATTTTACAGGTTGGTGATCATCGGAAACGAACCGGATGTTGTAGTTGATCTGATCTGATTCAAAAGTGCCCTGCTCGAAACGAGCTAGACGTGGAGAAATGTTTGGAATGTAAACATGAGTTGAGCCGCACAGCAGAGCATATCAACCATACAAACTCAAGTAAACTACATTGCTGTTGTCACTCTCTCGTCTTTACCTTTCTCTGGTGGGAAATCCGCCGAGTTGGTAGAAGATTAAATATGTTGACAGCTCTTAATTAAGTAGAATGCTCTCTGCACATACTCGCTCGTGTTAGTCACCTGCGTATTGATTAACTCGTCTTAGAATTCTTTCAGGGTCTTAGTACACCTAATACTTTGTTGATGAACACTGATCAGTTGAATTCTTATCGAGTTTCGGTCTGTTAAGTCTGCTGGGTAAGGAATGGACATCAGGAATGGAGTTTTTCCTCTACCAACATTTCAGAACATTATTTTGAAGTGACTGTTTCTCTTTGCGATGAACGATAACCTTGCTCGGCTATGGTAATCCGCAGTTCATTATTAAGAGTCTTTTTCACAACAAAGACAGTAGTGAAGAAAGAAAAGATTTATTACGAAAACTCATCACACTTCACGTATCATGTTATGAAGCTTGTCAAACACACTTGTTCTAGGATTCTTAGCTTTGTCTGTTTCAATACGATGTTGATGAGTTAAACTAGATCTGATCAAAATTCTCGTAGTTCTCACATTATTGTAAGATTAGAGGAGATTCGGTACATTGTTTTAAAAGCTTGCGTAATTCCATTTAGGGTAAAAGTGAGATCAAGGCTAATCCCGTAATAAACATTTGTTGGCTTAGTGTTTCCGGACTTGCTTCCACTAAGTTTTAATTTTCACCCTTTGAAGTCAGTTCACAAATTTAAGGAAAGGAAGATTTATCACTTCAACTTTTCCTAATGGATTTATTATCCTGTGACGACATTCTTATCACCGAGTGTAAGTTAAACTTCGTTGTCGTTGTGGCAACCACTAAAAGATAGAACTAATATAGAACAAATTATTGAAAATAGAAACAACAGAGACAATTTTGACATATCAGTTGACGAATAATTTAAAAATGAGATTTATAGTTTTCGCCATACTGAATGGCTAAAATGTAAGCGCCATTTGAATTAATTAAGGTTTGAACCGAGAAATTGCGAGAAGGTATGGCGGCAGATTTCTTTGATCTCAAAATGGAACGCATGCAAAGAGAGGTTTACAGAATATCATGTGTAAAAAAAATCAATGGGAGCATGTAGAGCAGATTGAATCTTATTTTAAAAATTCGTGTACATAAATAAAAATACCAAAGTTATAGATGGGAAAAACTTCTTATTTCTTTACGCTGAGTAAGAGTGTCTGCAAATCGTCATCGCTAATGAATACTTGATAAGAAGATGTACCCTTTGCGGAACAGATGGGTAAATCGTTTGAAAATTAAAGATTCACTTCCGATAATGCACGCCATCGTCAAAAACATAACACGAATCGCTTCCTTGAAATAAATATTACTGGGCAATAGTTGAACAATTACCTGGTAAGTCCATTGGATACAGGGGGAAATATGGCAAACGATATGTCGAGGTCCTCTTCTTTGATTTAGTTTGACGTTTTGACCTTCCAAAAGTCAATCTCTCTGATTCCATCCATGAATTGAGTAACAACCGCTCTTGTGTCCTACCCATGTTTTGGTCTATGCCGAACACTGTGAGCTCTGAAAATAAAATTTAATGACGCTGAATTTAAACAGTTTTTCTTCATGAGTATCGCAAAAGTATTAAAACTAATTGAAGTGCGGGTGTATTTGAGTGATACCAGGAAATCTTGTAACTAGAGGAAGTTGTTTTTGTTAGAAGCGTGGTGTGTGTTTGTTTTCAAATGTAATTTTACCTACTTTCATCATTAAATCTTGCGCTTGAGAAATCCAGCAAGAACCCAAGAAACAGAAACGCAGTAATTTCTTTCAGACAAGCCATAAACTCTATTTTCTCTGGATACGACAAGTTGTTGACCCTTTTGATACGGACGTGAGTATTGCCTCGCTCTCAGTTGGTTATCCTGCACGCAGTTAGTTCACAAGCTCGAGCCTTTATATCTGAATGTTGGAGCTAATTACGCGATTTACGTCATCAAGACTTAAGGGTTGAAGTTCGGAGATAGGCATGTTGTGACACTTGGCAGTGTTTACAGCGAACAAACTTGATTAGCATTTGAAGATTACAGGACCAATGACACCGAAAGATAAGGGGCGTGAGATGAAATTTGTAAAAAATCATTTTCATTGCTCTACAAATTAGTCAAAACTAAGTGAATGTTCATTGTGAAATAGAGATAAGCAACCTAGTTTGATTTTCTGCTGCCGGTTTGAAGGAGATCGTGCCCGAACCCTATAAAATAATGTAACCCGGTAACGTTCCGTCGTTTCCGAAACTTATATTACATGTCCTTGTGCCAACAGGTAACGTCAATAGGCCACAAACACGGTGGGAAGTTCACGAAATTTTTACTTAGTCGGATTTTTTTTATTAGTTATTCCTCACTCGTAGGCTGCAAAAGACACGAAATTGTAGAGATATAATGGTATTTATCTGTTTGTTAGTGGTTTATTAACATGTAAACATTTCCGATTTCCCATCATGACTCCACACAAACAGCCACCAGTAAGCAATTACTTCTTTCACACCACGCGCCAAACAATCATATCTCCTAGGGTCTATTGAACAAACATTTCAAGTACTCTATACTTGTATGAAGATGAATGTCGTGGGATGCTTTTTGCACAGTTCCAACAAATTCTGAGCTCTGAAAAATAGTTTCAAGCTTTTAGCCATACGTGTCAGTCGCGCTCTTTCAATATGAGATGATCAAATGGTAAGAATTACTCCAGACCACTTTAGAATCACTGGTTTTAGGATTGAGGAAGTACTTGACATCGAATTCCGTATCCAACTTTCAGCACGATGTTTCATGTTGATCAATACGCGATCCCTGGACGACAAAAACAAAAAAAGAACAAAAAACAAAAAACCAAAAAACCAAAAAAACAAAAAAAACAATAACTAAATAACAAAAAGTTCCAGGCTTGGAAGCTAGAGTAGAGTTGACTGATAAAGTTAGAGCTAGAGTTGACTGATAAAAAAAGTATCTGCCTCTTGGATGTTTTTATCGCTCGCTGTATTTCAGTTTCCGCTTGTTCTCTGGTATCAGTGATTTCAATCAACGCTACACGATCTCGACTGAACTCTATCCAAGAAATGGCTTTTTTTTCTTTCGTTTGAAATAGCTCTTTGGCCTCCATATAAAGACACAAATCGATAACATCTAAATGTAGTTTAATTTAAGCACGCTTTACAAAAATAGCTAATCATCTGGGTTTGATAGAGACTCTACTGATATACATATGAGAATTTCTGGCGCCGAGTGACACAAGATAGAAAAATAACTTTGCAACTGATACCCTCAGGGATAAATCTGCCGCCTTTCGTGCGAAAACGGAAATAAAATATGTGAACACCAAGAGGGAAAAATGCTATCCTAGATGAAAGGAAAAAATGAGTCAACACTCTAATTTAATCGACTACACAAACAATAACATCCGGAATCATTTGAACGAGTGGGTCGTGGGTATAAGTCGTGGGTCGTGGGTATAAGTCGTGGGTCGTGGGTGTGGGTGTGGGTAAAAGTCGTGGGTGTGATTAATACTTAGCAATAATAGTAATCATTTAAAATATTAGTTATAACAATACATAAATATTATACAACCCTTGTTATTGTATAAGCTCGGTTTAGTGAGCCTAGTATTTCATTAATTTCATCCAACAGAGTTAACTAATTTCACTCAAAAAGAAAAGTGAAATCAAAGACAAAGCCATTATTTGCAGGATGATGTAATCTCTCAAAATGAGGGTCATTCCAAAGAGTTTGAGGAGTTTTGTTCAGGTCAAACGCTTGATCAACACACAAAAAAAATAATCTTACACTGAAAAGAGAGAAGTGTTAAACTTAAAAAAGAACAACGTTTTCAGAACATGAAAGAAGCTTCGAGGATCAGAAACACGGCTATTAGCCGTGTTCTTGAATTAAAATTAAATTGTGCTGTCAGTGCCGGTTAAAAATAAATGAAGTTTCAAAAGTAAAATTAAAGTATATCCCTCTGCTGGTCAGGGAAAATAAAGCTTGTATTGATCAATGACATTCAGACAAAGAGCCGAATGCTTTATCAATTGTCATCTCCGTATCGCGTATCATCTACCCCGCATCTAAGAAAAAAAAAATGAAGTGAAACAGCGAACTGTTGCAAGATAAGCCGATATATAGATAGCAACGTTGCAACGTTAGTTGCAGGTCTGGAGATGTTGGCTCCAAGGTTTTTCCAAGGCACGAAAATATAAAACCTCTGATCCAGTGTGCGGTACAATCGACAACCTGAAATCGCAAGCCAATGTTAAATTGGTCATGACAACTGGCATCGGTGACAAGAAATTAAACGAAGAACCAATTAATACAATCTTAAAATTTTTCTTCGTCCATTTAACTGGCCAGGTCCTTTTCTAAATCATAAAATAAACTAGATATGAAGAATTATTGAGATAAGTAAATTAATAAATAAAGAGGTTCTAATAATTTCAATTTTTAAACGATTCATTTCTTATCTGACAAAGACCAGACTCTGCAGGGTTGCGAAATGTGACGTACTCAAGAAACATACATTTCATTGTTCGTCGAGAGGTACTCCCGGCTATTACTTCACGGTAACTAATGACAGTTATGTTTCACGTCTTGTTTTGAGACGCTTACAGGATAAATTTGTGGGAAAAGAAGAATAACAACGGTTCAAGGCACGTTTCGCGAAAAAAGCCAGTCATTTCGCAATTTCCATGAAGTTAAGGCGATTCAACGTTCACGGCGATATAACCAAATCACGTTTAAAACCAGCCAAAGGGCCCTTCACGATCCCGAAAAAACCCTTTTCCCTTACAAAAATAACAGTAACTATCAGTAGTGGTACTATTAACATTATTAAATATGAGCTCTTAACTATTAATTGTTATGCATTACCCACACCCACGACTTTTTTTACCCACACCCACGACTCACGACTTGTACCCACGACCCACGACCATTAGTCAAACTCAGAAAAATCACGCAAAAATTACTCATCATTAAGCCGAGTCAAATTTTAGGAATGAAGATAAAACTATGCTCCACCCAGAAAGTCAGTTTTTTCGTCCCCTTGCTTTGTGGGCCATTCATGAAATTCCCTAGTTTCTCTCCTTTTTTCACGCGACCCGACCCATGCCTCCCTCTTTTCTTCGACCTGACCCAAGTCTCCCTCTTTCTATCGCTACACCTGAAGGTTAGAATGGAAGAATCAAAAGTTATGGTTGTCAAAAGGTGACCTTAAAACTAAAAAAAAACCTTTTAAAAGATATTTACCCTCCTTCAAGTTGAAGTTTGGTGGTTGGGGAATAGTCACGTTATACCGTCACGGAGACAAGTAACCTGTGTAACGCAATCGGCGATTGGACAAACTTACCGTGGCACTTGTAAGGACGATCACTCGCAGTGATCTCTCGCCGATTAAGTCGTAGTATTTCTTGTCGCCCTAAATACTCAAGCAGCCATGTTGAATTGGTTGAAAGGCGAAGAAAAACCGAAGGTAGACACGAGCGAATTCCACATTCCCGAAAGTTACCGGGGCTCCGAAGGCCCGCGCTACAAAGTTCTCGAACACAACGATGGTTACGAAGTACGCTTGTATGAAGACTCCCATTGGGTCAAGACAAGATTTGAAGAAGGCAACCTAGAAAATTGCTCAAGTACCGGATTCTGGAGGCTCTTCAATTACATCAGGGGAGAGAACGAGGGGGGAAAGAAAATAGCCATGACTGTGCCTGTTTATTCCCAGGTCGAACTCGACAACGAAGGAAAATGTGAGGCCTTCACTATGTCTTTTTACACCCCAGCCGAGTTCCAAGCCACACCTCCAGTACCTAAAGATAAATCGGTGTTCCATGAGAAAGTTGACGGCTGTGTGATGTATGCATCGGGTTTTGGCGGTTTCGCGAAGGACAAGGATTGGCGAGAAAACGAGAAGAAGCTCAAAGAGGCCTTGGAGAGAGACGGCAAGGGTTATGTGAAAAATATGTACATTGCAGCCGGCCATGATCCACCTTTCCGGCTGTTTGGCCGTCACAATGAAGTATTGCTTGTAGCTGATCCTCAGCCTTCTTTAGCAGAGAAGAAACCGGGTAAAGAAGGCGCTTCTGGTGAATCAACTGAATAGATAATTACGTAACTTTACAGCGTGTTTCGCTTTGTTTACTGCTTCACGCTTCAGTAATCACTACCACTCTTCATTTGAAGAAATCTGTGGTTTCTTTTACAGACGTCCTTGATTTTGAACTGCGAAGACGCATAAAAGCCTTGTGGATTACTTCCAGAAAGCTTAAGTTGTAGAGACAAAGAAGTAAATATCCTTAAATTTTTCATGGTCATCGATCCTGATTTGAATTTTGTTCTTGATTATTCGAGATTATTTCGCAAGTCTTCCCAACTGACACTGTTTTTTCAATTTGAAAACTGTTTAAAAGCCAAGTTTGAGAAGCATATTAACGAACGCTGGGAGATTCCTTTATTTGTTTTGTAACAGTTATAACAAACTAACATATTAGAAGTTAATCGAAAAAAACATAGCTTTGGTGAATCGAAGCGAAATTCACTTGTTTAATTGAAGACTATGAAAGTAAAGGTACATATGCAAATGTAAACCAATTTTACTAATTAGGTTCATACGGAATTAAAAATATCTATTCGGTGTTATGAAGCCGTCGATGAATTTTTTTTTCGAGATCGGCCTCATTTTTATGAGAACCAAACTCCAGTCTAAACAAAGCAAGCGAGGCAAGCAAGTACAAACAGAATTTTAAATTGTATATGGTGACCCCGATGGGAAAATCGGAAGAAAAGTCTCTTGATGTGACAAAAACTTCTGAAACAGTTATTTTTCGTTATCGAATTTAATATCTTTTTGCAAGACGCCGTGTGTCCTTCTCTCATATGCTTCATGATTTACGTTGGATAAACATCTTCCAAAGAAAACAATCAATCTGGAAATTTTGCTATGAGGAAGGACTTACTGACCGAAAAAAAAAAAAAAGACAAAAAAAAAAGCAATGTCTTAGCGAGAAGGTATTGGTGCGTGTTTCCGCGCAATATATCAACGAACTCACATTCATTTCGCACTCTCTGTTGCGATCAGAATGCGAAATAAACCGCGGGAAACCAGAGGAACCACTGCTTCCGAAAACGATGGATGACGAAAATTGGTTAATTCTGAAATAATTAACCTAAACCGCAGTCAAACCTAGAAGATAAGTAACAACTGGAAAAGATTGTTGATAAAAGTTTCCTTTTTTTCGGCGTGAACTTGTCAAGTATTGACGATATGACCATATGATGATATAAGAGTATATATCTTGCATTTGTGTTTAAGCAAATTCAATAAAATTCAAGTGCATGTTCTTGGTTCAAGTGACCGATCGTTTTATACATTTGCTATGTGTGTAACTGGGATCCAAAAAAATGCAATACTGTCAGTATAATGTCAACGTTGAGGAAAACCCGTAAAATCGTTTGTTCTTTCGTTCAACGAAATAAGCCGTGAGAAAGACGAATGTGAAAAGAAGTGGAAAAATCATTATTAACTATTCAAAAGAAAATTGTTCTTATCAAAACTGTCCGATTAAAAATTTATTCTTTCAGCAACAAGAGTAGAGTTTCCCTTCCCGCAAAACAACTTCTTAGATACAACTTTATCAATTCATGGAAGATTTTAGCCCTCCTTTTTGAAATTTCAGTCAAAACACGAACAGAAAAAAGTGAAAACTGCTTAAATGTTTTCGTACGTCGAAAACTATCAAGAGGTATTCTGTATAAATGATATTTCATGGACAAAGATAATCTTCAACCAATATCCAATTTAATTTAATTCTGTGCAGGCTTTGGGAATAAATATTTCATGATAGCTTATCCAGTCAATTTCAAGACACATTTCGAATGATATAAAACCAAACTACGGAAGGCCACGATATAAGAGGAATTTGCCCTCGCTTTAATTTCGTAAGCTTCAGTTCTCTGGTAAAAAAAGTGTCATACTTTATCTTCATATTATGAAAAAATCTTCTATTTTGCTCTCAACCAGGATAAAAGTCTTAATAAATTTTCTTATTTCTTCGTTTTTCTCCCCTAAAGAACCATAAAAGACATTGTAAGTGTCTTCAAGGCCCCATTTATCTAGTTTTCCATCACACTCGAAAAATGAGATTATATGAAGTTTTTCAGCGCGCCGGGCCTGCGGTTTTCGAGGGCGTCGTTGTCAAGTAGAGAGAGAAAGATTTTTGTGGCATCTGCGATTGATTAACAACAATCGGAAACTCTGCCTATATGTATAAGGATTGTCGAGGGCGTGGACGTAAACACACTGGCTCCTGCACTAAACATTCTAAACTTCTTCTATTAAAAAATTAGCCCATGGAGGCATCGGAAATCTATTCTCAAGACGAGCTTTGCGTTATCGTTTGTGTATATAATTAAATTTTGTCAATAAATAACTTAATAGGGTTTTAGTTGTAGTTTTTTTATATTTTAGGGATAAAGCGCCTTAGGTGCATCCAGAAAAATGACTGAACTTGCAAGTGTCCTTGATTCCTTTCGGACGGAAACACAACATCAACAGCGCCATTACTATAAAAAAAAAAATAGAGCAGTTCAGACTGCATATGGCTAGTACTGCCGCATCCCACATGCTCGATGAAAAGCGGAAGAAAAAAAACAACATATTAACAATAATGATAACCATAGTAATAGTAATGATAACTTGTGGACACTAACTTAAGAACATCACTGTCTATCGAGCAGTCTATCCTCTAGTGTCCTACAATGGTTAAACTAGGCTTCATATAATCTTAATTTTGCCTGTTACCAACTGGTGTCCAAAACCCAAAATCGTAAAACGGCCACTGCACTAGCGGTCATAATCACAACTCGGCCACTAGTTGCCAAAATGACAAATGGGCCACTAATAGCTAAAATCGCAAATAAACCATTAGTGGCCAGAAAGGCAAAAGAGCCGCTTTTGGCCAAAATGGCAAAACGACCACTACTGGCCAAGATGGCAAAAGCACCACTAGTGACCATAATCGAGAGTCGGTCACTAGCGGCCATATATGCAAATCGTCCACAAGTAACCAAAATGTCAAATCGGCCACTATTGGCCAAAATAGCGAATCGCCTACTTGTAGCCAAAATTGCAAATCATCCACTTATGCCCAAAATGCCAAATCAGCCACTAGTGGCCAAAATTGTAAGTCGTCCACTAGTGGCAAAAATTGCAAATCGTCCAGTTCTGGCCAAAATAGAAAATCGGCACTAGTGGCAGAAATGGCAAATCGTCCACTCGTGGCAAAAACGGCAAAAGCACGAGTAGTGACCAAAATCGCGAGTCGGCCACTGGTGGCCAAAATCGCAAATCGTAACCAGAAACAAGTAACCAGAATGGCAAATCAGTCACATTGTGACCAAAATGAAAAGTCCGCCACTTTGTGACTAAAATAGGAAATCTGCCACTATTAAAAAAAAAATGGCAAATCTGCAACTAGTGGCCAAAATCCCAAAACCGCTACTACTGGAAAAATTGGCAAATCGTCCAAAAATGGTCAAAATGGCAAATCCGACACTAGTGGTTAAAATATCAAATCGGCCACTAGTGGACAAAATGGCAAAACATCCACTAGGAACCAAAATCGAGAATCGTTCACAACTGCCCAAATTCGCAAATCGTCCACTAGGGGCCAAAATAGCAAATCGTCCACTAGTGGCCAACATGCCAAACCGTCCACTAGTGGACAAAATGACAAATCGTCCACCAGTGCCGAAAATAGCAAATCGACGGTCCACTAGTGGCAAACTTGGAAAATCGGCCACTAGTGGCGAAAATTGAAAATTGTCCACTAGTGGCCAACATGACAAACCGTCCACTAGTGGACAAAATGACAAATCGTTCACTAGTGGCGAAAGTGGCAAATCGTCCACTAGTGGCCAAAGTTGCAAATCTTCCACTAGTGGCCATAATTGGCAAATCGTCCACTAGTGGCCAAAATGGCAAGTCGTCCACTAGTAACGAAATTGGCAAATCCTCCACTAGTGTCCAAAATGTCAAATTGTCCACTAGTGGCCAATATGGCCAAACGTCGACTAGTGGCCAAAATAGTAAATCATCCACTAGTAACGAAATTGGCAAATCCTCCACTAGTGTCCAAAATGTCAAATCGTCCACTAGTGGCCAAAGTGGAAAATCGTCCACTAGTGGCCAAATTGGCAAATCGTCCACTACTGGCCAAAATGGAAAATCGTCCACTAGTACTCAATTGGAAAATCGTCTACTAGTGGACAAATTGGAAAATCGTCCACTAGTGGCCAAAATGGGAAATCGACCACTACTGGCCAAAATGGGAAATCGTCCACTAGTGGCCAAAATTGCAAATCGTCCACTACTGGCAAAATTTGTTAATCGTCCAGTAGTGGCAAAAGGGGGAGATCGTCCACTAGTGTGCAAAATGGCCAATCGTCCACTACTGGCCAATATTGCCAATCCTGCACTAGAGGCAAAAATAATAAATCCTTTACTAGTGGTCAAAATTGCAAATCGTCCACTAGTGGCGAAAATGGTAAATCGTCGAGTAGTGGCGAAAATGGCAAATCGTTTACTAGTGGCCAAAATGGGCAATCTTCCACTAGTGGCCGAAATGGCCAATCATCCACAAGTGGCTAAAATGGGAAATCGTCTAGTAGTGGCCAAAATGGGAAATCCTCCACTAGCCCAAAATGGCAAATCGTCCACTAGTAACGAGATTGGCAAATCGTCCACTAGTGGCCAAAATGGACAATTTTCTACTAGTGGCCAAAATGGCCAACCGTCAACTAGTGGCCAAAATGGCAAATCGTCTAGTAGTAGCCAAAATGGCAAATCGTCCACTTGTGGCCAAATTTGCAAATCGTCCATTAGTGGCCATAATGGCAAACCGTCCACTAGTGGCCAGAATGGCAAATCTTCCACTAGTAACCAAATTGTCAAATCCTCTACTAGTGGCCAAAATGACAAATTGTTCACTGCTGGCCAAATTGGCAAATCGTCCACTAGTGGCCAAATGGCAAATTGTCCACTAGTGGCCAAAGTTGGAAATTGTCAACAAGTGGGCAAAATGGCAAATTGTCCAGTAGTGGCCAAAATGGTAAATCGTACATTAGTGGCGAAAATGGCAAATCGTACACTTGTGGCGAAAATGGTAAGTCCTCCAGTAGTTGCCAAAATGAGAAGTCGTCCACTAGTGGCCAAAATGGCAAATCCTCCACTAGTGGCCAAAATTGTAAATCGTCCACTAGTGGCCAATATGACAAATCGTCTGCTTGTGGCCACAATGGCAAGTCGCCCAGTGGTGGGCAAATTGACAAATCGTCCACTAGTGACTAAAATGGAAAATCGGCCACTAGTGGACAAAATGGCAAATCGTCCACGAGTGACGAAAATTGCAAATCATCCACTAGTGGAAAAAATGGCAAATCGTCCACTAGTGGCGAAAATGGCAAATCGTCCACTAGTGGCGAAAATCGCAAATCGGCGAGTAGTGGCCAAAATGGCGAATCTTCCACCAGTGGCAAAAATCGCAAATCGGCCATTAGTGGTGAAAAAGGGGAAATCCGCCACTAGTAGCCAAAATGGCAAATCGGCCACTAGTGGTCAAAATCGGAAATCGTCTACTAGTGGCCAAAATCGGAAATCGTCCACTAGTGGCCAAAATCGCAAATCGTCCACTAGTGGCTAAAATCGCAATTCGTCCACTACTGGCAACTTGGCAAATCGTCCACTAGTGGCCAGAATCGCATATCGTCCACTAGTGGCCAAAATCGCAAATTGTCCACTAGTAGTCACAATCACAAATCCGCCAGTAGTGGGCAAAATCGGAAATCGTCTACTAGTGGCCAAAATGGCAAATCGTCGACTAGTGGCCAAAATTGCAAATAGGGCAGTAGTGGCGAAAATCGGAAATGGTTCACTAGTGGCTAAAATCGCAAATCGGCCACTTTGAAATTGCAAGGAAGGAAAAGGAGCAAAAATTGCCAAAGACTACCAGGGGTCAAAATCGCAAAACGGCCACTAGTGGCAAAAATCGCAAAACGGCCACTAGTAGTCAAAATGGCAAATTTTCTAGTAGTGGCGAAAATTGCAAATCGGCCAGGAGTGGCCAAAATAGCAAAGCGAGCACTACTAGCCAAAATAGCAAGTTAGGCACTAGTGGCCAAAATGGCAAATACTAGTGGGCAAAATGGGAAATTGGCCACTAATGGCCAAAATGGGAAATCGGCAAGTAATGATCAAAATGGGAAATGCGGCAATATAGTGGCCAAAATTGGAAATGGGCTACTACCGGGAAAAATGGTAAATGGGCCACTAGTAGCCAAAATCGGAAATCGGCCACTAGGGGCTAAAATCGCAAATCGGCCAGTAGTGGGTAAATTGCAAATTGAGCACTAGTGGGGAAAATTGCAAATCGGCCACTAGTGGCCAAAATGGGAAATTGGCCACTAGTGGTCAAAATCGCAAATCGGGCAGTAGTGGCCAAAATCACAAAACAGCTACTTTGAAATTGTAAGGAAGCAAAGAAAGAGGATACAACGAATAGTGCAAAGAATCCAAATGTTGCATCTTTTTATTACCTTGAAATATAATTTTACTTTGTGTCAATATGTCATCAGAACATTATAAGAAAAATGTCGTTCGTTTAATGCGCTCAAAAATCCACTTGTGACAATTGCCTGCCTGACATAGTTCTCACTGAAAGTTTAATCTGACACTCACTTGCAATTGTTTAAATGAAGACCGCATTTTCCTTGTCAATGTCCTCGTTCGAAATATGGAGTTCCAGTTTGTCAAACAAATACACTTAATGTCAAAATATATCCATAACTCAACAAAACCATTTTCTTAGAGCATTTGCCATCAACTGAGATATTCTTCGTAAACGGAAAGTGGATCTAAATCATGATGTTTGTGGAATGAGACAGGCGTCTGGTGTTCTAGCAGTGAAGGTACGTACTCATTTGGCTTGGCCTGAAACAAGAGCATAACGATAAGAAATGAGGCCGAGGGAGTGTCAAAAACAAGTAAACATTCTTTCAAACAAGTGCCTACTGTCAAAAATTAAAAGAATTCCCATGAATGACCTACAACATTATTTACTTGGTGAAAAGCTGACGAGTGCGTCAGAGGAACTCCAAGTCTCCGGAAACAATTTCCCAGCCACATGTCGTCAGGAGAGTCTGGTTCCCAACAACTACATCCACTGCTTAGCAAAGCTTCGATACCCGTGCGGCTTAGAATCATACTGAACACAAAGACACACAGTTAGTGTTCATCACTAACACTGAAAGATTGATAAATGTTCACAGTTTATCTGTTTCCTCTCAATGGTTCGCTGTGTTTGATTAGATCAAGATGGGCACTCAAGGAAATGTTGGCATAGTTGAGGGTTTATGATTCAGAAACTGCCAATTTGAAATAAAAGATCAATGAAGGACTAGTTTTAAGCAAGACCAGAAAAGCGATGCAACTCTTACCTTCCTCCACCAGTGATATACTCGTACCCAAATCCCCCCGTTAGTCCATAGCCGTACCGCTCACCCAACAGGGTTGGCTCCTTTGAATCATAGCACGCTAACAACTTTTGCAGTCGAGGTACGCTGTGGGAATCAGTCAAAAAAAACAAAAAAAAAACAAAACAAGAAAGAAATCATAGAAAATCAGGAAAATTTGTAAATATTTTCATTTCAGTTCGTTGTACCAAGAACACGAGGACTACTTTTGTCTTGCCAAGCAGCCCTGATATCTTCGTAACGAAACCTTACTGGTTATTCCTGTCCATAATCTTGTCCTAAACCGCCAAATAAGGTTTTTCTTCACTCCTTATTAGTTGATGTGAAGTGAAAATTCGAATTGCGTTCTTAACAGAAATATACCCTTACCCCCTCCCGGGGCGATGGGAAAAGGAGAGACCCTCGGTACGATTTAAATCATTGCCTGAGTTTCCCGCCGATTTTACGATAAAGGTTTCTACTTCTGGCTGGAGAAGCCAATGTTACCAGCTTTTAGTTATCATGGTTACCTCATTATCGTATCATCATCGAGAATAACAAGCCAGGGTTTGTTCGCTGCCCTAGGGTCTGTGACTGATCTATTGATGATGGCCTCCAACTTAGCACAGTGTCCTGAAATAAAAACAGTACCATGCTTCGCAACTAAACTTTACCATTGCATGAACTTTTCTCCACTTATAAGCTACGTCTCGAAATGGGGCTCAAACTTACAGAGCTCTTCCGGTTTCCAGTGGAAGAAGCGACTAAAGATGTTTAAATTTAACATCCTAGCGACACGGATCAACTTCTCATCGGCGCATTTGAAAGTGTTTCTTCAGATCAGACCTACACATCGAGTTGTTCAACAGGAATATTGTTCATCCTTACCGCAACACCCTAGAAGAACCCTTACATGGATGCACAATTTATTGAGTTTAGCTCCCTCCCCACCCAACCCTTACCAACAAAGTGAGACAAACAATCGGCGTTCCGCTAGAAGCGCAAACTTATCTTCGCTCTGTTGGCCTACGTGTAGCCGTACCCTCCCCCCTTCCGTTTCTTCTGGGGCGGGGGATGTGTGGCTACATGTAGGCTATCACTTCGTATGCAACAAACTCGCGATTTGATGGGAATGCCAACAAGGAAATTTGAACTTCTGTCCATGGCTATTGTTGCTTTTCACTTTGGGTGGCCTTGTCTTAGCAAAACATGGTCGAAACAAAAAGCTGGTGTTTTTGTTATTTTCTTTTCTTTACACTGCACCAACATTTGACCTATCATTTTAATGTGGTGTTCTGTTGACATACCCTGATCAAAATTAAAAGCAACTACATTCCATTCATTTTAGGCAGCTTTAGGAGCTCCATTTGTCGAGACATGATCTTTAAGTCATTAAAAACCATTTTTTGGGCAATAATTGGATTAAAATTGTATTGAAATAAGTTATCTCAAATTTAAATTTCTGTCAAATAACATTTTCTTTGAACATTGCCATAGAGGGAAAAGGTTTTACGACTGAACGAGGTTAAAACTGATAAGTAAAGTATTTTACTCTTATTTACAAGATTTACCATTAGAGGCACGCATGGGATTCGATTTATTTTTGGGGCAAAAACAAGTCTAGCATCGTCTGGGTCATTAAAACAGGAAGATCATTTAATGTTAAGTATCTTAAGTCTTCTGCTTACGGTCTGTTTAGGTGCAAGTGAAGACGTCTAATTAAGATGTAGACACGACAGTAAATCTTATAACAAGGTTTAAGGTAATAATTTGGATATATCAACAAAGTTGAAATGGTAAATTGGCCACCGTAATGATTACAAAAGCTGACGTTTCGAGCGTTAGCCCTTCGTCGGAGCGAATAGAGGAATTGTGGGTTGTGTGTGCTTTTAAAGGCAGAAAATGGAGCTACGTTATTGGTGGGTGCATGGCAACGAGAAAAACATGAATAAATTAGTGGAATGAAAAGCGTTCATTGATCCCTGTGGGATTTAGACTGCCGGTTTGAAAGGTTTAAGGTACCTCTTTATCCTCCACGAACAAATGTTAGAGCTTCGTAGACATTTTAAGCTGATAGACAGATTACAACTGCCTTTCGTCTTAAACCGATCAGTCGTAAAATGCGTATCTACACTGACATAAAGACTGGTTCCAATTGTAAATTATCAATACAACTTCACAGATCCTTACAGAGAAGAGCGAAGGCAAATTCCAAGCGCGAAAAGTTAGGGATGCGACGTACACTCACCAGGGAGGGTGGAGAGTTTGTTCTACCTCAAATTTGTGGCGATGATTGTGAAATGTCTGTCGCACGAAAGGATTCCCTTCACCCCAGAGACGAAAAAGGTAGAGGAAAAATTCTGAGGCAAGGAAGCTTTTATCAAGAGTTACTTAACAAAGATAAAACGCTTTCCAAAGTCAACGGTGCTGTCGATATACCGAGGTTAACTTTCCCCACGATTTCTTCGAGAACTGAGTTCGTCAACAGCGATGGAAAAAGACCAGGTAGAAGAATGCTTGGTTGTGATTTTCCACTTCAAGGTAGGCCAGTGATTCCCCAAAACAAAAAATTAGGAAAAGAAACGTGTTTGTCTCAGGGTACTGACTTTTCTCATCAGCGACGACTTCCTCTTGTCCTATACGATGAAAATTATTTGGGAAACAGGAGAGACCAACTTAAACCCAGCTTAGAAGGCAGAAGGACATTCTTACCGATGTCGAGCTCTATTCTGGAGGTTCAGCGAATGAATATAAGGGAGAAAGATAATTTGAACAACCTGCGAAGACGAGTTTATAAGCCGGCATCTAGAAAGGGTCGCCGTAAGAGACAAGAGAGGGGACAACCTCTGGAGTGGTTCTTTTGAAGAGATAGCCCACAGGATTTCCAACCAACATTCCACCTCACCGATTACTTTAACTGAACTGAAAACCGTATGAGACCCGTTGTAGACACACTAGAAATGGCAATGTCGGTTTTCTTGTTACGAATACTGAATCTTGTTTTCCTCTCATTTACATATTTTGTTTTGTTTGGGTTTGCTGTCAAAGTTGGAAAGAAAACGCAAGGAACATCGGAGATTTGAAAGAGATCGGTCTAGGTCACGATTTAAATGCACAATAGTTCAGAACAAGAATTTGTGTAAATATATTACTAAACAGAAAAAAGAAGCAACTAAGATAATGGACTAGAAGACACTCTCTTACCCTTGTGTTTTTCAAGATAAGAGGAACGTATAAGAAAAATGTAACAACGCTTGGTCCAGTTTCTTTTCGGAACGTCACGTTTTGTTCCATAGGCTAAAACAATTTGAAATAAAGCTTTCTTAATTTGCAAAGGAGACTGGTTCAAATAAAATCACTTCTGCCCTGGGTATAATGAAACACATTCCAGCCATTTCCTTCCACAACCTTGTTACTCGGTCCAACCTGTTGTTACGGCCAAATTTCTATGAACTGGCGGCGGATTTCATCATGAATAGAAAGTTGATTTAGCTATGGTTGTTTAGTTTAATCATCGAAATTTAAGTTCACTAATGGACTTAGAGCTCAATATTCTACAGCAGTTTTTTTCGCCGACGGTTTACCAAACTTGATGGATCAAGGCTCCAGACATTTACAAAGACGGAATTTCGTTGGAGGAAAACTTAAGAAACTTAGCAGGGATCTTGACCACAAAACGTGATGAAAAAAAAAAAAAACAAACAAACAAACAAACAAACAAAAAACAAAAACCGTCGTCGCAAATTGGCAATCTCCACAATTTAAATGTCTCATCAGCAAGAGTGTTCTAAGAAATACGATTTCAGTTGGTTTCAAAAACTCCCATTCGACAAGGAATTGGAACAAATATCTACTCGTTGAGCAGTAATAGAACGTTGCACCGAAGATCGATGTTCAAAAGTTCCCCCTCTTACAAAGTTTCTCGACAAATATTTACTAAATAACTGACTTTACCTCTCTCAGTGTTAGGTACCCCAATGTTCTCTGTTGGTATTGAGGGATCTTCTGTCTCGCTGTAGTACACGATGTGTTTGGCGTGCTTTCCGACCGTCTTCTGCACAATGGGCACTAAAATGAAATACATTTCTTGATTGTAGTGCTATTAATCATGACCTCAACATGATAGCGTCAGATGGTTTGTAAATAGGTTAACCTGAAATCACCAAATGCAATCGAAGACCATGACGAAAAAAAGGCAGAATCAATATGATTGATTATATCTCCGCAAAGATTAAATCGACAAATTTAGTCGCTAGTACAGGGATGTAGATAATAGCCGGAAGCCGGGAAAACTACCCGGCTGTGAACGCGATTTTTCCGGCTCTAAAACACTACTTCTTTCTCCAAAACGTTTTTAAATGTTGTCAGAAGATTGTTATTTATTTACGTCATTTGTTTACACCTTCATTGCTGTCTTACCTGAACTGAAAGGATTGTAAACACTCCATTTAGTGCGACGATCGCATCATTCGTATCGCATCATTCATTTTGCATTTTGTAACTCGTGTATGCGAAATAATGAATACCAAAGGCACGCTAGGGTGGGCCTTCGGCCCGAATACCCACCTATCATTGCTAGATTCCCGCCTGTTAAAAACTATAGCTACATCCCTGTAGTACCAACAACATATTTGCAAGTTGACTGCTCCTGGCAATATTTGGAGTTGCGTACATAAGCTCTTGGATTTCAAAGTAGAGTTCCTGGTACGACCAGGCGATTCCTTTTTACACAACGAATGGAACGTGAATTGCAAGAAAACATCAAGTCAAGTATACCTCTGTCCTCGTGGTATTTCTTTGTAGTCTTGACAGCGAAAAATATTTGGTCCACAGATAGCGGCTCACCCTGAGGAAAACCCATAATGTTCTTAGAGACAATCCTTTACACTCAATACTTAGAACAAACTAAATGTCTTTTTAAACCTTTCTTTTTTTCGGTGTGCAGTTTTTCCCAGATTTTTTTTTCTCTCGCATTTAAACAATATTTTCAGTCTGCTAGGTATTACTCAAGCTCGCTGCTCGAGGTCAAGATTATGTGACCCCGCGTTATCTCCTCTAAAAGGTGTCTCTATTTCACTAAAAAAATACGAAAAAAGGAAAATGCCATTTAGCCAATTTATAGGTAAGTGAAGACCCCCTCCATCTTAAACTAAAACGTATCCAGTGCACATACACAGTCAGGGCCCCCAGTTTTCAGAGACGTCACACATTCCTGTTTGTCCATTGGTTCGCTTGTGCAGAACTCGGGGACATCTGTGAGCAGCGTGCCTCGGCCCTCGTCACGAATGAACATTGCCACCTAAGAAAATGTGACAATCCAGTCTAATACACCGAATTGAAATATGGCGTCCAATTTGAAGTACCATTGTTCTTGACTTACTAGCCTCGTCTTCACGTGGAAAACACAAAAGGATTATCACATGTGTGAGAGGCTAGTAAGTCCAGAACAATGGCAGTTCAAATTGGACGCCATATTTCGATACGGTGTATGAGATATTATATTATAGAATTCGATCTCAGGGTAACGGGTGGAAATTAAATATTTCAGCAAGTCGAGTGTTATATTTCGACAAAAACACGGGGCTTTCCTAAATCTATCGCAAAACATGGTGGATAAAGAAAATTATTTAGTTTCGCTTTTTTCTTCCGTATGTCGGCGTATGGCATAATCCGGTTGCTACTTTTTTTAATTCTTCTTATTTGACTTTTGAATAAAACAATTACCACGAGTTAAAACTTCCAAGAAGAATGTTGCTAATCAGTGGTGATACTAGTGTGAATTTCCCGTGCAGTTCGCATGTTCCCTGCTCAACAACCAATGAAATACTGCAGATTTCGATCCGTTTGTAAATTAAGCATCACAAATTTTTCTATAAAAGCGAAACCAACAGCATTTTTGCCCTCATTAAATCAATATTACTACTGTACTACAGAGAGTAGCATTGAAGATGCCACCAAAAACCGCAGGGAAGAAGGAAGAGAAAAAGATGGCTGGAAAAGTCAAGAGTGGAGCGGACAGCAAAGGAAAGAGAAGCAAAAGAAGAAAGGAAAGTTACGCTATCTACATCTACAAAGTTCTGAAACAAGTTCATCCTGACACCGGAATCTCCAGCAAAGCCATGAGTATTTTAAACTCGTTCGTCAATGACATCTTCGAGCGAATTGCAACCGAGGCTTCTCGACTCGCCAACTACAACAAGAAGTCGACAATCAGCTCGCGCGAAATTCAGACCGCCATCCGACTGCTACTGCCCGGTGAACTGGCGAAACACGCAGTGAGTGAAGGAACCAAGGCCGTTACAAAGTACACGAGCACAAAGTAAAGTTATTTAAAGCTGCTGGATTTTGTAGTGACACAAACACGTGGATTATACTTTAGGACAAAACGCATGAAACGGACGCGAAAATTTAACTTTGTGACTTGAACAATCCTGGGCAATTAACTTGACCTCAACACAAACACGAGCGACTTCTACAACATCGGACGGGGCGAAAGAAATTCAAAGACCTTGGACCACAAAAGCTCGACGAAATATTCAAGACGTGAACAGAACGGACGCTGCTGGAAGAACTAGTAACTGGAGACATCGCGACAAAGACTACGAATACAAAAACTGTGCCAAAGGTGTTCAAGAACTTGTAAAACTGACATGACAAACTTATACAATGATTATACCCAAACAATAGGTTTCTCCTGTAGCAGCAAAATATTAATTTTCTCGCTGAATTCACATGTCATTGTACACTTATCAAATCTCTTACCTCGTAAAATAATTTCTCGCTTAATTCACAGGTAATTGTACACTTATTGAGTCCCTTACCTCGTGTTGTACATCTATGGTAAAGTCAGAACTTGGGGGTTCAGCTTGAAGTCTTTTTCCCATTCTATTTTTTTTTTTTAAAAAAATGAGAGCAATTAAAACATAATTTTTTATTTCAGTTTCTTTCGTTTGTTTTAGCAAAGACTGAACTTTTGTAAATAGGATTGTATAGAAGGAAATAAAAATGATTCAAGTTCTAAAATTAGTGAAGAATTGTGATTGAAACAAACATTTCTTGGGGCGGTGGCAGTCACGGGCTTCCGATCTCATTAGTTTTTCTCCTTAATTTAAACCATTCAACTCTGATGTTAAATAAATAATAAATAAAATAAAAAAGAAAAACTTATTTAAGTGTCAAATGTATTTAGCTGTACAAGCTCAAGCTAATTGGGGACACTAATCTAATCAATGATTAATAATTAATTAACAATATAAATTAATAAACATAAATATAACGACCGGCAGAGATCGCAGCAGTCACTATTCATCTAAGATACTCGCAAAATCTATAATCTAAACGACTGGAGGCAAGGTGTTTGTTTGACCAGGTTGTCATGTCTGTTCCATAGCGCATAATGTATTGAGTGGTTTCCCATAGTTAATAGTATTTGAATCTAGGTGGATTAAAGTCTTTCTTTGTCAAATTGAAGCTTAAACTATTTAAGCTAAAAATTTTGGCAACATTGGTGGGGGCAAGCTTACGCTTAAGTTCATACATAAGGATAGCAATGTCTTGAAGTCTATGATTAGACTAGGGTAGTCGTGATCTTTTGAGCAGTGTCTCGGGTATCTGACTTTGTTCTATACACTACTCTTGACGCGGGCTCTTGAAGGCGTTCAATTTTCGTGCCGTCAGAAGCCTTGCAAAAATGCCACATTAAGTGACAAGTAAGGTAGGATAGAAGACTTAGATGGTCAGCTTACCTGGACAAGGAATAAGATTACGCAGGCGCATAAGGACTCCCACTTTCTTGCTTGCTCTCATTACATAATTCACTGATATGATTACAGTACTATAGTTTATTCTGTTGTCGATGCGGACGCCGAGTATTTTGACATGATCTGTGTTAGTTATGACCTTTCCATCTATGCAAATATCGGTAAATTGTCCATCAACGTCAATATTTCTAGGATTGAGAATCATTGCTTGGAATTTATCAGGATTTGCTAATAGGTAATTATCTCGGTACCAAAACGTGGCTCGTCGTCCATTCTGCTCCAAGATTTCCCTTACGATTTTATAATCAGTTCCTGAGGTGTACATTTGGTGGTCGTCAGCGTACATGCATAAGTTAGCAGAAGTTATAGGGCAGGGCAGGTCATTCTGAAATATGTTCCACAGCAGGGGGGCCGAAAGAGGACCCCTGAGGAAACCCTCTAATCATATGCTTCCAGCTGCTTGTCGTGTTTCCAATTCTTACGCTATTTTGTCGATTATTGAAGAATGACCTCATGAGGTCTAATGCTTTTGGCTCAAAGCCGTAAGCCTCTGGCTTTTTCAGGATCAATGAATGGCTGAGGGAGTCGAATGCTTTGCTCACATCGGTGGATAGAGTACATGCCAACTCCTTCTTATCTATTGATTGTTTCCATTTCTCCATCAGACATAGTAGTGTCCTTTTCTGTATGCAGTACTTAAATTGCAGAATTAGGTACTAAATCAACCACTCCTTAATCGATATTTTTCTCTATTCTTATCCCTTGTCTTCTTGATCTTGTACTGATACTCTAAAGAGAAATTGTCTTCATTACTAAATCAACTGTGACAAAAATGGCCAGGCACAGAAAAATGAGATTGTTATCAGTGGAAGCATATGGTGGAAGACAAAATATCCGCTCTTTGGTAACCACCAGACAAAGGCCAAACTTTCATTTTGCTTTCCTCTTGTCTTTTATTTCCCATGAAGAACTGTCTTAGAATATTTTTTTCAAACAGATGTTGGACTGAATACAAATGCAAATGAAAAACCATCTGTTACTGTATTTTTGCGTGAAAGCAATCATCACCACTGACTTACACACATACCGACTTTCCACAATTCTGTTTTTAGGGATAACAGCTCTTTGCAGAGTTTTATAGGGGACCTAACAGCACTGTGTGATGATCACCATTGTGTTAGTTGTTATGGGTATCAAAAGCAGACAAAAGACCAAAATTAAGAAGAGTTCATTATTTTGTTTCATTCATTCTTTTTATTAAAATAAAATTAAAAGTATTGTTCAGATACAACTATTTACCTTTGAAAAAATGAAGTAAAATATCTATATGTCATTCCCTTTCTACACAACTATGAACATTTTCACACTTGTTGACTGGAAGACAAGCTCTGAACATGGCTAGAAAAAATCTCTTTTAGATAAGCTATCTGAAAAAGAGGAATAAGATTGCTAGCTCTGAGCATTTACAACAATTATTCGTTGAAGGCAAAGTGAATGTTGTTGAATAATCTTATCTGGGGGATTATTCAACATTGTTCACAGTGCCTGAGGTGAATAATTATTTTAGTATTATTGCTCAGATGCTTTCAAATTCTGTTGCAAATTTGAGTGGCTCACGAGGCAATTGAAAAACTGCGACCTGGCGGATTTATTCATCTATCGAAGATTTAAACTGGTATTCGAAAATCATGGGCGCTTTCCATTAAACAAAAATCACCGGTTCAAAATCTTAGAACTAATTTAGCTGGAGAGTGTTACGCATAACAAGTTACAATCCTGTTGATTACTTGTATCAAGATGAACAAGCAATTTAAACAGGTTTATCTAATTTAATCAGCAAAAACTTCATATCTTTCCTTAGGAAAGTGTTCCACCAAACTCAGTAGCTTTTTTTTTGCGCTCTTTGAATTTTAATTTTCTTCTGACATGTTTATCACTCTCTTAGAAATATTGACAAAATGCAAAGCTGCCATACTGCTATAATCACCTGGCACAAGGTGATTATAGCGAGATATGACACAATCCTCAACCAATCAGAGAATGTGCATACCTATACTCAACCAAGCCGCCCAGTTAGCCCAATGGATAGTGTGCTGGACTGTTGTGCAGGAGGTCAAGGGTTCGAGCCCTGGCCGGACCAACACTCAAGGTCATAAAATAATTGAGGAAAATTTGCTACCTATCTATAACATCAAAAAATGGTTAGATATTCTAGTCTTCTCGGATAGGGACGGATAAATGGAGGTTCCATCTCCAGCAGGGTTGGAGTAAGAGATGTTAATTTCCCACACACAAGATTACTGTGTGATGGATGTCCTCCCCTGGGGTGGGATGGTGGGTTTGCTGTGAAGGCCGCAAGTTAGATAACTCATTGGGTTAATTACGTCACCTTCATTAAATAAAGAATATTGTATTGTATTGTAATTATGCTAAAAAATACATACACAAATGAAGGAAGGAAACCTTCTTTGGCAAGGGATAAATAGATTAAAAAGGTGTTTTGACTTGCCTGTTTAGTAGTTGCACAGACAAAGCCCATCCAGCTGCAAAGTCAGGAAAAGAGAACTGTGATGGATCCTGATGGAAGGCAAAGTGATGAATAATTGCAGGCTGTTTATCTTGGATGGCATGTCCAAGAAACATCTCCTGGTGAAAAATCACAAGAGGAGAATAAATACGATGAATTCCTCTATAAAGTGTAAACAGCTGCAAGAGGATTGGGAGACCTTTTTCCACCCCTCCCCCACCCAAAACCCACTTTTTCCTCTGTTATATTACAGCATGAAAAGCAGAGCAATGAGAGGGAAGGGAGTGTAGGAAGTGTTGTGACTTCCATACATCTAGAGTATTCTAGAACCCTTTACCTCCCAATTTCTGAGGATGAATTCTCTATTCCAGGTGCTACATAGTTCCTTGTAAGTTAGTAAAGAGAATTTTGGTGTAATATCAGGATAAAACCTCACATTTAATAAGCTTGTCTATTCTCATAACCCCTTTGCAGGGCAAAGAATTGAAATTGCGAGGAGAATTGCATGTCTATTTTTCACTTCTTGGAGTTCAAGGGTTCTGCAGTTAGTTCCGATTTTCTTCAGTCAAGGCTTATCTCTTCATTTTTACTGTAACAATCCATTTATAAACTACTTTTTTTCATCACACCTGTCTTTCATCATATTTATTTAAGACTTGAACAAGTCCCGATAGCTTGATGGTGGTTTCATCCTCACAGAAAAATATCCATCTCTTATTATCACCATAATCTTCAACAATTCTAAATCAAATTAGAGATATTTTTCTTAAAAGTCATACAAAACATTCATTCTCAAGCATGTACTTTAAGATTACAAACTTTAACTTGCAACAAGTCAAGCTAAGCAATACCTGGTATATTACTTTCAAGAAGATTCACAGAATTGGACTAAAAATACCCTTGTGCTATATGTAAGCCTTTCAATCCCAGATGTCATTTATTTAGCAATTCTCCCTACAATCTGCCATACAATTTTTATAATCTGTTAGTTCTGAGAATGTGGTAATTGGTTAAGTCTGTTTATGAGCCAGTGGCCCATCAGGCTGGTGCTTAACTCCAGTTTCTGTAGCATGAAGTGACTAGGAGTATTTCTACTCCCCCCTGGATGGGATGCTAGTCCATTGCAGAGTTACCCTCCAGCATTAAATTTTCCGGTACCCATTTAAACACCTGGGTGAAGTGAGGCACTGTGAGAGTAAAGTGACTTGCCTAAGCACACAACACAACATCCCCGGGCGGGGCTCGAACCCGGACCAATCGATCTGCAGTCGAACGCACCAACCATGAGGCCAACTGGGAGGGACACCGCAACAGCTTGCGCCGATTACTGTGGGCCCAATAAACCCACCCATCCNAATCATCTCCTAATTGATACATGCATTTTTCTTTATTCTCATCACTTGTCTCCTTGATATTATATTAAAATTGTAAGGAGAAGTCTTGTCTTGGTCACTCATGGGAATTAAAGGGGTTTAAAAGTCTTACCTATTTATGATTGGAAGAATAGTCCAAGCACCAAATGGTGCCCAATCCTCATGCATCATTTTTAGTTCTAAGTGATCCTGGAAAATGATTAATTTGAATCCAAATTTACATAAAACTTCAATTAGTTACAAGATTTGTTACCTTAAAAGATTTCTATTTAACAATTATTCGCCGAAGGCGAGGTGAATATCATCGAATAATTCCCGAGAACCTGAGGCGAATAATCGTTTTTATTAGGATAATTTCAGAGCCAAACAATAGAGAAATTTCTAAAATCATAACATTTTAGTAACATTTATTGACATTTTATTTTAACATTTTATATAAACCGCGTGAAGCAGTTTACCTATAAGGAACCACTTGACCAATCAGATTGCTGGAAACTCTTTTCTCAGCTCTGAAATTACACTAATATCTATATAAAACACAAGATTTCACCAGTCACCTTTTCTCCCATCATTTCTGCTTGCTCTTCCAAGGTCTGTCTTAGAGATTTTGCTCTTCTGACATGAAATGCATTATGTTGACTTCTGACTACAATAACAATATCCTTTAATCCTACAGAAAAAAGTTAAACTCAGTGTCACCACAAGTCACAACCACAAGTCACAGTGATAAAAAACATTTCATTAAGAGCACCCAAAAATATTCCGTCATTGGGTATCTAGTCCAATAAAAAAAACATTACAACAAATAAAGATAATTGAAATAACTTGTGATTAATCTGTGCAAGTAAAACATGGAAAAATAAAGGAGGAATAAACTAAACTCCCCTAAACCTTTAACTCCCAAGATGATTGTTAATTCTCCCCACTAACTGCTACACATTTCCTAGTAAATCAAAAGAAGAATTTGGTTTTTTGATTAACATTAAGACTTTTACCTGATAAGTTTGAGTATTCTCATTACCTGTTTGTTGTTTAATGTATTGATATTATGAGGAGAAGTTATATATTAATCACTTCTGGCAGGCAAAAAGTTAACACTTAAAACAATTATCATTTCAATTGGATAATTAGTTAATTTACCTATGGGAGAGATATCTGTTTCATTCTCAAGTTTGGAATCCTGAAAACAAACGAAAAGATAGGATAGCTACTGATGATGCACACAGCTGATTTCTATGTTTGAATTAAAACTGAGTAAACACCAGTGGTAATTATCACTACTTTTCCTCCTTTGATAGCTATTAGTGTTACATACTCCTACCCCCCCTTCAAAGATCTCAAGACATAGACCTCCTTTTGTAATAACAAATAATGATCTGATATCTCTATTTCACACGATGTTCAGATAGCAGACAGATCACGAAATTTTCGTCTTGAAATTGGCCCGATTGTACGATCGTTTAAATAAAATGACCTAAATTTGCGGGTGCTTCTTTCATTAGTTATATTTCTGCCACGTTGATACTAATATTTACATTGTGTGAATCGTGCTAATGATTTTTTTATATGTATTTCATTGTGAGATCGAAACAACAATAGACGTCGAGAACAATGCTAACTACTGTGCCGTGTGTTTTCATTTATAAATGCATATATTGCGAAAAATAATTCGATCTTTATGACGATGATCCATTCGAGAATACAGATATGAATCGAGAGAGAAATAAAATGAAGCAAGAAATTTAATTACTCAGTGTACCGTAACAGCGCCAAATTCGAATCCTCTCAGTGGATCGTCGGGCCCAAAACCTCCAAAATCATCGGCAAGAATCGGTACTGTAATGCGATATAAACCGTGCATTATAAAAAAATGAGTATTTCCTATAAAAAATAATGCTCTAAATACTTACGAAGAAGAATAAATGAAGATACAATCTTCTGGAGAATAATCATTTCTGTCTTTTCTAATCGACAGGACATGAATGAATATATTTGAGTAGAGACTGAGAAGCACTGTTTTTGTACCGCGGGCTCAAAAGACTGTAATAGTGAGCATTTACAGTACTACATATATGATGATCATAATGTACCAAAATGGCGGAGATAGTGGAAGATGAAGATATGCAAGTCTTGGTAAGAAATCAGAAAATGATGCAGTATGTATCAAGAAAGCATTTTAATGTTGTTTTTCAATAAATTTATTTGTCTCTCCTTGATAAAGAGATTGGAATTTGAATGGTTGCTACGTGAGCATGTACCGAAGGTGCTGACCCAACTTGGAAACATCTTACAGGTAAATTTTATAGCGCACTCCTTGTTAGTCCTTTGAACAATTTTGTTTTAGAGAGGAATGCTCTAAAGAGGGGAATCAAGATATCAAGTAAAGAGGTATATTCACGTGGAATAAATGATGATGAGGTTATTTTTTGAGTACATGCCAGAACACACGGAGAGCTACTCACTGACGCTCATTTCAATTTCAATTCAATTTCAATTCAATTTATTTATTTGTTAGCAATACAATATTATCACAGTCCTAGGTGACCCGCAATTAGCAAGCTATTCTAGGCGGGCCACCCTTCTAAAACAAGTGCTGTCTCTGCTAATGATCACATACCGATACAATTAAACAAAGATAATCATTAAATAAAAATACAATTGTTAAATAAAATAAAATAAAATTAAGTCCGTTGAATAATTAAATAATCAATTGCAAAGTTATCAAGATATATAATACAATTGAAACAAGACTTAAACGAAGAGTTACTTTATCAAGAGATATTTACAAATTTCTGAGCAGCGTATATCAACATTCATCTCCTCATTTTCCAAAAGTTTTAACAGGCGATTTTTAAGTTCACGCTTAAACGGGGTTCTGTTTTTAATACGAAGTTCTTTTGGGATGCTATTCCACAATCTTACACCTATTCTAGCAAAAGAAAATAAAAGTTGGTTAGTTCTAGACGCTTTAACGTATAGATTAGCCGTTGCTGAGAATCTTGTGAAATGGTGATGAACCTGCTCGGAGTGGAGAAAGAGCATAGAAATATTAGACGGGGCACGGTGATTATCAATGTCATGCATCAAAGAGGAAACCAAATGAGAATAGAGCATAGTTATTGGTAAGATTCTGGAGTTAACAAATAGCGGGGCACTATGAGTTTTGCTATCCGCAAAATACATTAGTCGTAGAGCACGTTTTTGTAAAATGAGAACCTTATTTAAATGAGTGTTAGCAGCTTGTCCCCAGGCAATAAGACCATAAGAGATATAGGGTTCAATTAAGGAGCGGTAGATGTTAAGAAGTGTGGCAAATGGGACAAGATGTCTTAACCTGGCAATTATACCAATTCCTTTACTAACTTTAGATGAGATATAATCAATATGATACTTCCAAGAGAGGTTATTATCTATCAGAATTCCTAGATATTTCACAAAAGTTTTTTGTTCTAGAGATACACTTTTTTTAAGATCGTTATTATAAATTTTCAAGTGAACTATGTAGTCCAATTTGCGTTGGTAAGGATGGAAAATAACAAAGTTAGATTTACTAGTGTTAAGAGAAAGTTTGTTTGCGTCCAACCAGTCACCCACTTTTGCGAGTTCATCATTAACAACTTTTTCAAGATCCTTAAGATCTTTGTTTGAATAAAGCAAGTTAGTATCGTCAGCAAATAGGTAAAACTCAAAAATCTGGGAGCAGCAAATAAATAACTTTTAGAAGGCTATATAAAGAACTTGTTGTGAGCTGCCACCATTTGGGTTGTTGGACACAGTGATTGTCACGTTCCCGATGCCACAGACACGTGGTGTTGTGCACCGGAGTTCGCCAGTATAACCACAGTGATGAAACTTAGACAAGTAGCAGCATCAAACTCTTTATTCACTTAAGCAGGCAGTCTTTGTACAGCACAGGCAATAAAAACTATAGAACCGATACATGAAGGTTCGATATAAGGAAAACTGAAAGACTACGAAACTAGAAATGATAAAAATGAGGAATATTACAAGCGTAACTTACATTGGATCTTGACTCCGGGGTAGAGAACTCCTAAACTCCGTTTGGCTCTAAAATGGTTTCGCTACAGTGACTCCTCGCAACTGAACTACTTGCTAATAGAAGGCGAATTTAGTTCTTACACTTTGACGTAGGGGAAATAGAAAATGAACAGTGCTTTGTGTAGCTAGCTTTGAGTGGATATTCGCTAGTCATGGAATAGAAATCAAACAAAGTACGCTAACAAATTTAATAGAAAGTCATTGAAAGTTTCTTAGTGTCTTTGTGCTAAAAACGGAAGAGTTATATAAGTAAAAAAGATTAGAGTTCGTATCCGTAAACGTAACAGTGATGTTACACTTCGTTGTCTTTTAAGCTCAATAGATGCTTAACAACAAGCCTAATATTCCCATTTCTTTTCTGTGAAATAATTAAATGGCAAGCAAGTCTTCATTTTGCTACTATTTAATAAAATATATTGCGTTACAACTTCATTTATTCTCTGTGCATGAAATTCATGATGTTGAATTCGTAAAATGAAGATTGGTGAACCAAAAGAGCAACGGCTCACATTGATAAGTTCTTTAGATAGCCTTATCTATGATATGATATAATATGATAGTTATTTATTTGCTTTGACTTAACAAGTAAATGAACAGACTAAGGTGAAAATGCTTTTGGACGAAAAGACTTGGATGAAAAGACTTTCGGATGAAAGACTTGGACGAAAAGACTTGGACGAAAAGACTTGACGAAAAGACTCTTGGATGAATAGAACGGACACCAATCCTTGCACACCCCTTTATATTTAGCATTTCGCAGAAAAACATGAGAATACACTTGAGGGCGAAAACTCAAATCGTTTATTTACAGGGATTCCAATGATAATCCAGAAATGTTTCCATAATTGACAGAGTAAACATCCAAATTTGATAGTAAGGCTGGTTTTCTACAAATAGAAATTACACCTTTGGGAGCGAAATTACAATGCACATGAAATACGATAAAACTTACTGACTGTTTCGAGTTTAGAGTGTCCAACAACAACAACAACAATTTTAGGTAGAAAATATGTGACTAGTTCTCTTTTGACAAGCACATGGTTGATTTCCCAGATGTTGACGTGAAATGTAGGCATGCAATAGGAGCTACACTTAAACTTAAAACAGTCAGAGCTCTTTGCCGTTTGACCCTCAAGAGTGTCAAGAATTTAATTTCTCCTTACAATATCACCCCTGAATCACTCATTAAGGTCAAAAGTTTAAAGGAAGTGATCCACAACTAAACAAGCTCTAAAATGTTGAGCAAATTCTCTTTGTCAGCACCTTAGGAAATGTATAGAGAACAGTATAGAAAATATGCATACTGATCTAAGGGTTAAGCTGCCATGGGGAAATAAATAATTTGATGCTAAATGTTGGAGAAATAGTAATCATGTAATGTAATTTGTTGGATAAGATCATGTGACAAGCTCTAGGGAATTACACGTACTCTCCTATTACATCGTCTAACTATTAACCTTGCAGTTTTGTTGTTCGTTTGTCAAATGCTGTTGTAACCTTCTCTCGGATTGGAATAAAGATGAATTTCTTAATACTAAATTCCCCTTAATAGTATGGTTAAGGTTTTGTCTCGGAGGCCAAGTTGCTGATAACAGTTCATAACACAACAAAATGACCCATCCAGGTGTTTTTCATAGACCCCTTTGATTTGGAGTCCAGCTTGTTAACCTTTACAACCATAACATTAGTATCCATATTTTCCAAACTCTTTTCTATACAGTTCCTAAGAGATTCACAAGAAGATTTTTTTTTTGACAATAAAGAGCTTCTTAAGTGGGTGATTATTTCCTGTATTCTCCTTACTTTGATGTTTGAGTGAGAGGTGACACTGTAAGGGGAAATCAGATGCCGGTCATTTAGGTGTTAAGGAGTTGGTCACTAGGCTAGTGTATCTTGCTTATATGGCTTAGAATAGCTTTCTGATAAGCAGATGGAGGGAACTTGATGATAGCAGTACATTTCTTTCAATCTCTCATCAAAGAAAAAATCATGTACAACTAAGGATCATTCATTACAACTTCATTATTTGTTTTTTCATTTACTTTACTACTTAGTAACTGAAAAACAATTGACAGAAGTAGAACTCTTTCAATTTTTTGTTCAATTGTTTGATCCAAAGGAATGTTCAAAATGTTTAAAACTAACAAGTATACCATCAAAGGGACCTACAGGAGAACTACAAGGTAGGAACAAGAAAAGAAAATGCTTTTTGTCTGGTCTGCATTTTGTCAGGTTATTCTCAATATACTGTATGTTAAATTTCCAAACCCTCTTTTGCTTTGTCGATTTATTTTTGAATTGTATTAATCATTTTTTTGGCTAAATTTTAGGAGAGATAAAGCCACAAGATTACTTTATGCTTTCCACACCCAAGTAAGAGAAAGGCTTATACTTAAATTTGGAATCAAAATGAAACATTTAAGTTAGAAAACTATCCAAAAACTAGGTTGAAATTGTCTTATCATTCTCACAGGATTAAATTAACAATTCTTGTAATTTATATTTGATAATAGTTTTGAAGTCAGAACACATCTTTTCTTTTGTTAACTAGACAAACACTAGTTCTTTTGTATACATTACTAAGTAAATCTTTTGGTAAATTTGATTTTTGAGGGTTTAAATCATTTTTAGAAGTATTTGATAAATCTCATTCCAGTTTATTATTTTGTTTATGACAGTAGTGACACTCTTAAAGGTTACGTTGCTGTGGAGGGTGAAAACATTTCAAAAGCTGTAAGTTACTTACCTGTCCAGTGTCAAGTTGCTTTTTATCTAATCATAAAATAGTCAGTGATTGGCTGAAATGTCTTCTAAAGGGTCCAAATTAGGTTCTCTAAGAACTGGTGTAGCAGTAGTTTAGTGACCTTAATTCTTGTTTTATCTCTTCCCTTAGTCAGGTTTGAATATAATAATAATAGTAATAATAATATTAATAATAATAACTTTATTTATCCTTTATTAAAGAGGCATTGAATTCATATATCTTATTAACCAAGCGCGAGGGCCGTACTGGAAGAATATTGGCTCGAGGTCTTGACAGTACAGACCGAGTGCAGCGAGGTCCGTGCAAAAAGGACCGAGGGCCGATATTCTTCCAGTACGGTCCTCAGCAAGCTTGGTTAATAGGAGATTTATTATACGACTGAAATTCAAAGGGACACAAGTGTGGTATCATCGGGGACCATTCAGGACAGTGCCCGGTCCAATACTGAGAGAATATTGACTGGCAATAGAGCATTTTGATTGGTTGATTTTAGTTATTGGCCCTCTGACTGCCTGAGTCTTGTAATAAAGGAGTGTTACTAACCTGCCTTTATAATTTTTTGCAGGACCTCAACTTCAAACTTCCCAAAGTTTCAAGCTCTGGTTTTCGTGTGTTTGTTAGAGAGCGCCTGCCATGGAAATTAAGACAGGTGAAAATATCTTTTTTTTTTATTTTTTTTTTATTATGAAGAACTCTTTTCTTAACATTAACACTGCTTAATGCCAACTTAATTTTAGTATCAAGAGTTGTTTTTACCTGATCATGTTTAGTTAGTCAATAACCAATGTCAACAATAATTTATTTTTGTAGATTCAAGATGCAATAAACTACTTACAGCTTACTATTGAGAAGGTTCAAGAAACCAAAGCTAACTGTAATTTTTCCTCTGGAAAAGAAGTCAGCAAGGTTGGAGATTTTTATAATAAATATTTCTATGTAATCTTGAGTATAAAGTAGTTTTGTCCCAGGACTCTCAGCCGGAAGAGTCTTAATTGAGTTTAGATACAATTGAACTCAGGTTTTTTTTGTTGAAATTTACTAATTTTTTAGGTTGTAGAAGAAATTACAAACCTTTTGACAAAAGGAAAGACCAGACTGTCTTTGCCTGACAAAACACCAGTTTTAGATATGCTGGCATCTGGAGACCAGGTACATCTGAGTATCTATTAATTATTAATAAAAAATACATGGTATTAAATAGTCTGCTTGGGTCACTTTTGAGTAACATTCCTTCTCTTTCAGCGAGTGTTCAAGCCTGGGTTGCCAGATGATGTGGTTGCATACTTCTGCCTTAACAGCGACAAACTTGTCTTGTCAATTTACACTTTAACAACACTACCCATACCACCTCAAAGTTCAGTAAGTATCTTTATGCAAAAGGATTTGTATGGGTCCTGGAAAACCTGGAAAGTCCTGGGATTTTATTTTGACATTTTCCAGGACTGAAAAGTCCTGGAAAAAGTCCTGGAAAAAGTCCTACAAGTCCTGGAAAGTCTTGGAAATCTGCTTAAATGAAGCAATAAAGTTTTCAAAATCAACATTGTAATAAATTAATGTAGACTGTAAGGAGAATTGATTTTGAAATCTTGGGAATGGATGGGTTTAAGGTGAAATCTGGAGTCCTGGAAAAATCAATTTGAGCCTTGGAAAAATCAATTAGAGCCTTGGAAAAGTCCTGGAAAAGTCCTTGAAATTTGTTCTGAAAAAATAGATGAACCCTTTGTAAGCATTACTGGGCATGTTTAAATACCAAGAATTTGAAAAGTTATGCACGTATCAGAAATGGGATGTAAACTGATATTTAATGTTATTGTTTTTTACCCCCTGTTTAGAAGCCTCCTCAAGATAATGACCCTGTTGGACAAACATTGTAAGCACTTTTCACTTTGTATAGTGTGATGTTGAGGAGTGAAGGCAGGGTTTTCATTAACCCTGTATGCCCTATCATCAGTACCCATGTTCTCCATTCCCTTCTCTAGACATAGTTAAACAATCAAATCTTCTTAGGTTTGCGATCATTTCCTTTATTCTCATGAGCTTATTGAGTGACTCAGAAGTCTAACTGTGAGGAGGAGCTAGATGCTGCTCACTCGTAGGGTTTAAAGAGTAAAGGAGTGTTGTTGCAGGAAAAGAAGTATGATATAACCGGAGGATAATTTCGATGTCTTAAGAAAAAGATAGCTCAGGCCATCAAAGTTAATCCAGAGAATTATGTTAAGTAGCTGGTGAATTCTATAGTTGCCTAAGAGACCTCCTCCCCCCACTGTGAAGGTTTTCCTGAAAAATCTTCTTGTTATCTGTTTATCAATTTTGAGTCTTGATGGATAACATGAGTGACATAAATTTTGATTGTTGAAATGATGGTCACAGAGTTACTTGAACAGTCCTTTTAGGATTAGCTCATCCAGACAAGCATGTTAATGTAACATGTGATTGTTAAATATCTCTTTGGTAGAATTGTGCATCAGAATTCTGTACTTATTGTAGTGCTGAGAGGGGGATGACAATAATCAGGAAGAGAGGAGATGCACCTCAGATATTGGACTAAATACTTGTCATTATGTCTTGTCTCGTGGAGGCGCAGTGGCCTCATGGTTAGTGCGCTCGAGTCTGGATCGAGTGGTCTGGGTTTGAGCCCCGGCGGGGACATTGTGTTGTGTTCTTAGGAAAGACACTACTCTCACAGTGCCTCTCTTCACCCAGGTGTATAAATGGGTACCGGCAATTTAATGCTGGGGGTAACCCTGCGATGGAGTAGTATCCCATCCAGGGGGAAGTAGAAATACTCCTAGTTGCTTCATGCTACAGAAACCGGAGTTAAGCACCGGCCTAATGGGCCACTAGGCTCGTAAACAGACTTTACTTTACATGTCTTGTCTCATTATATACCTTCTATTTGGCTATTTGTTTGCTGCAGTTTATTTTAACTCTTATCTCATTCTTGATTGATCAGGTATTAACATTTAATCAATTTGGTACAATCTTTTACTTTGATTGTTTATAAACAGTGAATTTAACAATAAATGGATGGAAATCACAAGTCACTTTGAGGTAGGGTGGACTTAAAGCTATTGTGGAAAAAGGAAACATTGCCATTGTCAGTTTTGTTTCATTAGGCCATGAAATTTAAAATTTCCATTCATTTGAATAAATTAAACTTAGTTTCAATTGCATTCTTGGTGTTTAAGGTTGATTGTTCGATCCCAAGACTCAGTGATTCTGTGTTACTCATTGGAGCAGCACTTAGATTGTGTCAACAATTGAAAGATAAGGTACACATAATTCTGTAAAAGTAGTAGGAAGGCTTCTTGGGTGATTGCAAGATAATTTGGCTTCATCAAGTGAGTTGATAATGTAAGTTGGAAAGTTTCCAAAGCTGAAGATTTGTTAGCTCTTTTGCTCTGAAAAAGGGTTGGTGCTCCAAACAACAGCTTTAGAAACTTGCTTTGGGGCTAATTTACACTATCGAATCAGTTGATGAAAGGATGGTTTGGAGACAGTCTCTGAGACAGTTTCATTTTACTCCACTAGTTATTTTTCTGCAAGGTGACTATGGATTTTAGCTAGAATGAAAATTTTCAAAAATTTTAAATTAGTTTGTTTTGAACCATTTCAGTCTGTCCTTAATGCTCAACTGCCTTTTACTGAATAAATCTTTGTTGATTAGTTTGCAGTTTTTTCTGTGCTTCCTGCAAGATGATCATGGAGATTTTGAGTCTTAAATAGGAAAGAAGATTTATTTATTTAATGTTTCTTTTTCATTCAAAGATTGATGCTGAGCACACACTAGCTGAAATTGTATGATTGAGTAAATTTCTATATGTAATTCCTGATTAAATCAAGGGAGGAAGAAGTACGCAGTATATAATTGACAGTTTCCTGTATGGTTGAAAACCAACTTTAAGACCTTGACATTATTAAGACAGAAGTATGTGAATTTATAAAGAAGTTTTACTTTTAGTAAGGTTTTTATTACCAGATCAAACTTTTGACCAGTTTGTGTCATGAGTGAGACTTTAAGTGGTCAAATTGAGGAACATAAGGAAACCCCTGTGAAAAGTGGTTTTTTAGGCCCACCCCTTTGAAATGATAAAATGTGACTGCACTAACTGCTCCACTAAAATTCTTTACATAGCTCTTCAGAAATCTAAATAAAAGCTCTAGGAAGAGTTTTAAAAAACTATAAAATGTATTTTAGATTTAGTTAGGTTTCATGATTGTAACTGTCTTCTGTAATTTTTGAATTTTTTTAACTTTTCAAGATTTTTGGTGTAGTACAAAACTGTGCAAAGTCAAGCTCAATAATACTGAATATAGTGACACTAAATCATATTAGTTGTACTGTTATCCCTCTTTTCCCAATTGGTATGCATTTATGGTATTTATAAAAATAATACCAGTAATTATCTATAATTCTATTCCAACCTACTTAGTCTTATTTCATTTACAACTTGATAATTACATATTACATGGCTTAGAGGAATTTTAAATATTGCAAGCATGCAAGCTACATATTAAATGCTACTGGAATATCTCTTGACTTTTTATTACAAAATCAAACAAATTGTGGACACCTACGAACTTTGAAAAACTACTTTCATTATAGTGTGCACAAAACTGTGATGCAGTCTTACATTTATCAGGTTCTTGTAAGGGTTCCAAAATGTTTTCATGTAGGCATCAGACTCTACAAAAGTAGGTGACTGGGAAAAGATCATTAAGGACCAAAAGGTAATGAATTTGACAACAGTAATCAGCAACATGTTACTGCGTAGCTGGCAGAACTCTGGCAGTCGCTGGCTTGTTTTGAAACTCCTGCTCGTTGAATATTTCAATCATGTTTTTGAGGTGTGAGTACTTCCTTTATCCCTGTATACTTTTCTTCCTTTTTCTTCATCACTTTTAAGCTGCTACGATGGGTCAACTGCTTTTTTCACTTAATATCAGCAATTGCTTTATGTTTACTCTAGTTAGGTGCAGGAAAGATAAGAAAATACTTCTGTGACTGGCACATGTCAAGATGTCCACAAGGCAAGGGTTTATAAAAACAACCTAGAAACTAGGTTTCCATCATTGGAACTTATGCTGACATTTTGCTGACATTCCAGGGCATGGAAGGCGATTTGTCATTATACACTATAGCGTTTTCTTCCACACATCTTTCAAACATTGATTTGGATCTTATTTTTTTGGCTATTAATTGGGGCAGCAGAAAGATGTGGCAACCAATCTTTTAGGATGTGTTGACTCTAAGCATGCCCCAACCTTCCAAGGTTTATTCTGCATTATTTGTATCAATTTTACATACTATTAACAGGAATTATAATGATTTTGATTATTTTTTTCTACCCTCCTGGTTCAATTCAAAATTTAGTGTGTGATCCACCCCCCCCCCCCCCACTCACTTCCAATCCGTACTCAGTCTTCTGAATCTAGCTAACTGGTAGATGTAAACAAGTTCGCCATGCACAGGAGTTCTTGAAATTTCCTGTTGTTGCTTTCTTGTCGAAATGGCCTCCAAATTGGGTGGAAGGCCCTCAGTGGAACATGTTTCGTCCCTTGCAGAAGTTGTAGAGATAATTCTATCTTTCTTGCCCGCCAGAGCGCTTTTTAGTTGCGCGCATGTTAGCCGCTTGTGGCGAGACACTGCAAGACGAGTTCTTCGCTCTCGACGAAAATTGGGATGGCTTAGTTTTGAGGCTCACCGTGAACCTCACGTAACTCCTTGTACCTCTAAGGTAAGGAAAGAATGGCGTTTATTCACTGTTGATGAAGAAATCATTTTCCTTTAGACCGCGAACGGTTCCCAAAGCATGCATTATGTCGGCAAAACATTACACAATATTACCTTCGATGTTTCAGAATTTTCTGGAAAGCTAACTAGGTCTTCATAACAGCAGTTCTGTTTAAAAAAATGTTTATTATTTTTCCTTTAATTGACGTTTTGTCATCTGAAGCGACCAGTGAATGTATCTGCGATCCTATTTTGGCTCTCTCTTTGTACATTAGAGAAGGGGGTCTTTAAATCCAGAAGAATGGAAATTCATCAGCGTTTTTGGATTCAGAACATTTCCTTGTGTTGGTTTTCTGCGTCCTTTTGCTTTCGATCAGCGGTATTGTTTTTTAAACAACGTATCCTGAATGAGGAATGTTCAATTCTGTTCATTTTCCTTGTTATTTAAGGGAAATAATTGGTCGTAATGGTGTGGGCTTATGTAAGAAAACCATTAACACCATGAATTATTTTTTAATTAATAATAAGGTCTGTGATAGGTTCTGGGTGGCCATTGATAGAGAAAAGGGTTGGCTATTGAGGACAGGACATTTCAAGGATCAGAAGAGGGCAGGGTTGGAGGTTAAACATAAAATCTGGTAAATTCAGGTCTCAGAGTCTCAAATGTGAGTGTTGATCTTGAAAGG